GCTAATGTAAATTTGAATATGGTTTTTTGTTTTTTTCAGTAAACAAAAAAAACAAAATCCTTTTGTTTCTCTTTTATTAATTAGGGAAATACTGCTCTTCATTATTGTGTTACTAATGGTCATTGGCATGTAGTTAATATGTTATTAGATACAAGAGTATGTGATGTATGTTTACAAAATAATGCTGGATATACAGGTAAATAAAAATATTGTATTTAATTTACATAAAATTTTTCTCGTCAATTAAATTTTAGCTGTAATGATGGCTGCAGTTATTGATATAACTAATAATGAACAAAGACAAATTGTTCGTCGTCTATTTCGTGAATCAGGAAATGTGAATGTTAAAACAACAGCTGTAAGTTGTTTGTTTGTTTTATTTTAATATTTAATATTAAAACTAAAAATTTTATTTTTAGAGTAATCAAACAGCATTAATGCTTGCTGTTAAACATGGAAAAGTTGATTTAGTTGAATTATTATTAGAAAATGGTGCTGCTGTTAATTTACAAGATACAGATGGATCAACAGCATTAATGTGTGCTGTCGAACATGGAAATTTAAATATTGTTAAATTACTTTTAACAAGACCTGAATGTGATGTCAATATAACAGATAATGTAAAACAAAATTCTTTTTTGTTTTTTATTTTGAATTTATGAATTGAAAAAGAAATATTTTTATTTTATTCTTTTATCAGGATGGTCAAACAGCTGTTACTATTGCAACAAGTAGAGATCGTAAAGATATTTTAGTTGCACTGTATGCTAAAATGAAAGAACGAAAAGGACATCATTCGGTAAGATAATTTTGTTTTTTTTCCCTCAAATATAAATATGCATGTCGTCTTTATAATTCCTTTTTTCCATGCATCCTATATATGTATCTATATGTGTGTTCGTGTATGCTGGCTTTCTAGGCATTAGGCAGCAAGCCTCGCACCACAAGTAGCTCGACCGCGAGCAGATTACCAGTACCTGACAGGTAACATTAATTTATTCAATATTATATGTGACTTATGTAGTTAAATAACATAGAAGAACAACAAGCTTTTTTTAAAATTCTTTTCTAACATTTGGCCATAAATAATTCTCTTTCTTTTTCTAATCAATATATAAAAAGAAAAAAATTACTATAGACAAAAACAAATTTATTCTTGAAATTAAGTGGTTCATCGAATGCTAAACTCAAGATTAATAAACAATTTCAATCATCGATTAGATTTATTATGATTATTATATTAATAAATATATTTGCTCTTTTTCTTTATTTATTACATGGATGAGAAGGTTTGCTATTGTAATTAATAATAAAACACTCTATTTTCCCATTCATACCCCTTACCCTTTATTAATTTCTTTTTATTTGCTTGAATTTGTTCTTATTACTAACCAACATGTTCGATTTTTGCTTGAAAATATTTTTTCAAGAAAAACAAAAGAAAAAAAAAAGAAAGAAAACTAGATTTTTTCTGATGATTGATTTATTTTTATTTGTTTTAGGTCTACCATGAGCAGTTCGAATTGGAAAGCAACAACAGAAACAACGAGCACTTCTTCATCTAGACGAAGTGGTGGTAGTGACTCGGGTAGTAGTGCAGGTCCAACTGTATCAACATTTCGACGCTATTAAATATCTTCTCATCCAATTTTTTTTTAATAATATATAAATTAGGCTAAATTTGTTTTGTCATTTTATGCCCTTTCTGAAGAAAAGCCTAGTCCTGCTCTTTATATAATTTTTTTTTTTTTTCTGTCAAATAATCGGATTGAAAATATGTAAACATCTTGATTATTTGGCAATATATATCTTCCGCTTTTTGACCTTTTTTCTTTGTTTTAACGTTTTTTTTAAATTTTGTTTTATGGTTGTCGTTCACATTAATTGTGTGCAGAAAAGAGAAAATGGGTATATATATATATTAATAGATCAGAGAAAATATATATGAAAGAACACAGAAATGCATAATATTTTCAAGAAAATCAAATTCAAGATGAAAATTTATTTATTAAAAATTTTTACTATAAACCAAATAGCTAAAAATCAAATATATACAAGGTAGACTATAAATAGTATTACGATAAAAAATTGAAATATTTCTACTTTGATTCGCTCGATTGGGCTGACTGTTTGGTTATTGATAGAAATTTATTCAAAGTTTTTTTTTCTTTCATACAGATAACATATATAAATACTACTGTCAAGTAAGAAAAATATATTTGAAATGTTTCATGCTGAAATTCATGTTTCATAAATAAAACACACAATTACAGTTCTTTGAGCACCAACTTCCTTGTACAAATTCGTTTGTTCCATATATGAAAATTCAAAATTTTATAATCGTTGATTTTTAGACGAGCTAGTTCGAAATATTTGTTCTATATGCGCATTAATAAAGTATCATTCATAAAGTTGCGTTTGATTTATTCTTATTATTCTCTTAAATGACAACTGAAAATTATCTATAGATCGTTTTATATCTATTGTTCTTACTTGATTACAGGTAAAGTTACTCTCATGATACTAACAATAATACTTAATAGTAATATTTACCTACTTGACTAGTCAAACGTTTTTTTTTTTCATACGCATGAAAAACTTGAGTATCTTGAGAAAGAAGGTCATGTGATATGGACACATCTTGAAGCAAGACTTGAAATCTTTTAGCGACCTCAAGCACTTAAATCTCTTATTGTATCACTTAGTATTCTTACTCATGTACTTGAATTATTGTCCAAGCTTTAGTATTTCTAGTTGAAGCGCATACAATATGCTTGAACATTGAAGAAGTTTGTTTTTTTTTTCTAATGTTTTAACCGTTCACTTGCTTGGGTAGATTCAATATTTTTTTGTAAAATTCTCATCTGCAAGTTAAAAAGGAGAGAAAACGAATTCTTGAATGTCACTTAGATAAAATAAAATTAGTATTTTTTCTATCGAACTCACATTTTGCAATATATAACACTGATGACGTTCAGTGAAAAAGATTCGAGATCTATGTAAAATTCATATGCATTGGAAGAAATATGCGAGCATTTATGTTTATCGAAATGTGACCTTCAAAAATAGATATTCTGATCTACTTTACCCCGAAGTTGAAGAAAAATTTTGATAGATTCTGATTAGTCTCGCTTAAATTTTTCGTACATTTCTTTTTCCTTTAAAAAAAAAGTTTTCTAACTCTGCTTGATTGAGAATATGTCATTATTAGCTACCGAAGGCGATGAATAATATTGGTATTTGTACAAAAAATGTGATGAACTGATCAAATATATCAATCTGATAACCAATAGATGTAAATATTAGCACCTGTCAACTATTTAACGTGGATGATGCATCAGCAAGCAACAACAACAAAAAATGAATACTATAACTAGTCTTTTTGACAAATTAATTCGATGCAGCCCATTCCAAAGCAGTGCGAGAGTCCTTTTTTCTATAGAAGGAAGCTTTTAAATCTGTTACCTGAAACGGAACTTAAAAATTTTGGTAGGTTTCCGATAAGATGAAGAAGGATGTTGCCAACATTTCTCATGATCATCTATGGTCATTGAGTATCACAATAGTATCTGTCATTGATTAAATTAAAATACAACCTTAATTTAGTACTAAACTTCATAGTACATAAGAGACCAAAATGAGAAATAATTTATTTAGTGTATCAGATAATATACTAAATCTGCTTGTTCAAAAGAAAAAAATAAAACGAAACATGTTAAGTTTTATGTTAATCAAAGATGAAATTTACCACTCGAAACTTCTTTTGACTTGTGAAACTTTTCTTCAGTTTTGCTTTTAAAATGATTCGATTCTTAATAAAAATTTATATTTTAAATAACAAAGACTATAGCAAATAGAACAAAAAAGGAATCTATATGAGTAATAATATTCATTATTATCCAAAGCATGTTTGCAATGACAAGTAAAGAATGAGTAATTTTGTAAATTAACTTTTTTCTTGACTTGAATGTTTCAGCTCTTTGTTACGATAATTGATGTAATAATCAAATTCGTTCGAAATGTAATGGATTTAATTTTGAACTATTCAATGGTCAATGATTCTTTATCGTTGAAATAGAGAAAGTTGTTCTGACGCTATTTTTACGTTAATTGGTAAATATGAAGGTTTGTCCTATCATGCTGAAAAATTTCATACTGTTTTAATAATACTAAAAGAATATTTAGTGTTAGTTACATTCATCAAAGTAAGCATTCGATAAACTGATTTAGAAACTAGACATGCATCGAACTTGAAGGTGCGGTCTCATATGAATGAAACAGCTTGACAGTAATTGCCGTATTCTTATTCTTTTGAATGTTTCATTATTTCGTTTTTCTTTGTTTCTTACTATGTCTATTATAAAGCATTTAGATACAAGCAAAAAGTCTTTTATCTTATATCTACTGAATGATCTTCTCTTCTACATGTTCTAACATTCGATCTTGAATATATTCTTAAGAATCATGATAATTGGTAGTGTGTGACAAGAAGTCTCAAAAGTAAAAAGCTGCTATTTATTTCGTATCAAATCAGAATTCGGATTTAGCGAATGCTTAATAGAAAGCTTTGTGTAGCAACAAAATTACTTTGACGAGTACACACACACATATGTAATTGTATCTTTATTCGCGAGACGTACTACGATTTATCTCTCAAGAACATCAATAGACTGTTTCAAGAAATTCTTCATTCTCTATCAGTTATTTTTCTTTACGTAATCGTTTATACGTCCTTGTAAAGATCTATACTCATGTATAATTGATACTGCTTTTCTGTTAAGATTTAGAAGATAAATTCCAGATGAAAGGATAGAATTTAAAAGACATGTTTTTTTTAAAATAAAATCCTTGAGCTTTATTTTATCTATAATCTCTAACAAATAAAAATTATATTCAAAAAAAAATTTTTTTTATTTAAATTAATTTTTTTTACAAATAAAAATCTAGAAATGCTTCTTCTTCCACCTTTATTTTTCATTTCTTTTCTAACAAATATAACTCTATGATGATGGATTAATTATTTTTACTAGATCATCAGGTCCAAATAAATTGATATGTAATTGCCAAGGTAATGGACAACCTTCTTTTATATCAATTTGTATTTCATAAATTTTTCTTGTTCGATGATTAAATAATGAAATTAAACCTAATTGACAATTTAATGTTAGATCAACTGTATCTTTTGTACACATATCAGAATCATATCCACCATAACCTTGTATTGCTGCTGGTATACCTTTTAAATAAACTTGTTTTTGTCCAGCCCATCCATAAGCTGTTGGTGATTCAAATGATTTTTCTTGCATTGGAGTACCTGACCATATAATACCAATAAATGTATTATATTTATCAATAGTTTCATGTTTAAGTGTTAATGCTATACGACTAATACCTGTTGAATAAACATTCATTCCACGACATTCAGCATGTCGATAACTATTAGCATGTCGAACAACAAGACCTTTTTCATCAAGTATAACATGTCCACATATTTTATTAAATTTTTCATGTCGATAAATTCCATCAATTAAATGTAAATCAAAATTAAGTTGAATACAAAGTAAACGAAATCGTTCACGTTCAAATTCATCATTTGGTAAAGTAAATACTTTACGTGTTGATGATGACCAATCACGTAATTGATTTAATAAATATTGAAATAAATTTGGATCACAATCAAAAAATAAACGCCCCTCATTATCATGTGTTATACTTTCTGACCATGGACTTATACAAGCAAGTGCAAGTACACTATTTGGAATACGCATAAGTGTTGATCGTTTTGTTGTCATATGCGTACCACCAATATTAAGTAAAATAAGTGGATCATCATCAATTGATGTAGAAAAACAAGACATTATTTTAGATTTCATTTTTGACGATGCTGAAGATAATCTAGTACTGGTTGATACTGTGATATCTTTTTGATTGTTTACATCTTGTGTTATTTCCATTACGCCGTTACTCATTATTTTACAAATGTTGGTAATATTTTGTTGTTGAAAGAACAAGAGAAGAATAAGAAAAAAAAAGGATTAGAAACATGCCATTAATGCTATTCTGTCAAATGAAATTCATTCAATGTTGAAAGTTCTGTTGATTTTTGTCATGACGATTATTTACTACTATCGGCGCCAGAATTCAAGGCAGTCGGATGTTTTTTGAATAACTTTTCATAGGAACAAAATAGAGACCTGCGGTTTCCAGCATTTGATAGGAAAGACCCAGGAGCAAATTTTCATAAGCAAAATCTTTGCTGAGAAAACAAAATCTGAAGATCGGTTTTTCAGCACATCTTTGGAAAACCACGCTGGATTCCTGAAAAATGCCATAGGAGTATATTGATTTGTTTACATATTCGGAATCAGCATCGAAAACTGAGTCGATTCATGAATGTTTCGAATCTTTTCACGAACTTTTTCTTTCGCCGAAAAATTCACCCCTGGTCCTCCTGAGGAAGAGATCAAAAAATAAAGTCAGTCAAAAGGTCACTGGGACAACGTAAATCGAGTTCGGAGCTTCTAAAATACTAATAGAACATAAAATGGCAAATGAATAAACAATAAAGATG